TTAAAAAAAAAATGGTTGCCTGTAAAGTCGTTTTTACGGGCGAAGATTTTACGTGACAACGTCTTTTTCTCGGTAGAATATTTATTGATATGAATATAATTAAATTGCACAATAGGAACAAGGAATTGAATGAACTAGTGCTGCGCGCGCGGCAGACCGATCATAGTTGAGTGGGAGAGAGACGCAAGGCATTCGGCGGGCCTCTCTCTCGTTCGGTGACTCATCGTAACGTTACCGAGCGTTACACTTTTTCATAAGTGACTCCCAGCCGCAACCTAATTTAAGACGTTGTCACGTCAAAAACAAATCAACGGATAACGTCTCAAAATCCTACATCGCGAATTAACACGCATAGAAAAATCCCAAATAACGACTGTTGAGCAGAAAGCCCGCCAGGCACGATCACCTCGCCTGGTCGGAGGATCCTCCTTTTACTCTCTGTTTCCTAAACTAGTTGAGTATCTCGTCAAACAGTTACGTAAGAAAGTCGAAAACATAATAATTAAAATTAACACTAGCTGACACGGCAAACGTTGTTTTGTCATATAAAAAAATTAGGAGTGGACTACCCCTAACATTTAGGGGGATGAAAAATAGATGTTGGCCGATTCTCATAGATACCGGATAAACACAAAAAATTTCATCAAAATCGGTCAAGCCGTTTCGGAGGAGTATGGCAACGAAAACTGTGACACGAGAATTTTATATATTAGATTTTATCATCAAGAGCGCCTTCTAAAGAGATATGTAGGAATCGTAGTAATTGGCGTTTCATATTCTCTGCCTACCCCCATGGGAGACAGGAGTGAAGTTATGTATGTATGTATGAATCACAAATCTATCAAAGCCAATAATAATTCACGTTTTGTACCAACCTGTCATGGTTGCAAGAATTAAACACACAGCCAGGCATATTATCACCACCATTCGGGTAGAAGTCCACATCAGCGAGGGGCTCCAGGTACCCAGAAGCTCCTACATTGGTATGCATAACTTCGGTATAGATTGCATCTGATGCTTTGAATGTGTGTTCGTATCCAACCCAACCGGGACCTGCGGGGTCCAACCCTGAAAGAAAAGATCATTAGACGGTGTGAAAGAGAATAGAGTTTGTAATAACAAGATATTTATTGTTTTTATGGGAGAGAGAGGCAAACGAGCAGACGGATCACCTGATGGTAAGCAATCAGCGTTGCCTATGGAGGCTGCACAGAGTTACAAGTTGCGTGCATTTGGAGATTTGGGGATTGAGATCCTTCCCGCATTGGGCGTATAAAAGACAACGCAAGCATTGTTTCACTTTGGTTTTCTGCTCGGTCGTAGTATTATTCCAGTCGAGCCGGCCCATACGTGCCGACTGTCTCGTTGGCTGAGTGTTCGCAAGTGCGACTGTCGGGCAAGTCTTGGGTTCGATTTCCGAATCGGGCAAAGTCATCATCATCATGAACAACCTATAAATGCCCACTGCTGAGCAAAGCTTCTTCTCACACGGAAAAGGTTTGAGCATTAATCACCACGCTTGCTGAATGCGGGTTGGCGATTACAAACTTATAATTAGAAATTATATGCCCAGGTTTCCTCACGATGTCTTCCTTCACCGTCTGTCACTGGTGTCTAGACAATCTAAGAAAGTGCATGTAACTCGGAAAAAGTCACATTGGTACTTGTCGTTGGTAGGTTTCGAACCCGCACTCTCATGCATGAGAAGCAGGCGTCTTAAACCCCCGGAGCACCACGGTATCAAACGTAGTTATTAAAATAATTATATATTCCTCAGCAGGTGTAGGCAGAAGTATATGTGCGCAATGTGACACCAAAGTTTCACTAGTTATAAGGGTAACACTACGTTAATGGGTAGTGGTTCTGGCTACAGATTGGTGCAATGGTGTCATGGAGCACCTGGTTTTGTAACCTTGTGTACCATTCAACGGCAAACTCACACAACATTAACTATAATAATAACGAAAACGCAATAAGGAACCTTTTTTTTAAGGGGGGAAAATCATCGAATGATTGCTCCCACCTGGGTGAGGCGGGAGGGAGTGTCAGACTCTTATTGACTAAAAACCACCCCGTTCCTCTCTCCTGCACGTCGAGCCGGAGCCCCGGTAACCCGTTAGGTTCTCCACGACTCCGAATCGGCATCGGCCCTGTTGGGCCCCATCTGTGGTGGTCTGATAACTGTTTGAGGCGCGCGCGGACCGCGACGTGCCGTACGCTCGGGTAATAAGGAACCTTAGACTTGGCACGACTTTCTTATATTTCATTACGTTTTGGAGATAAACTAGCAGCTCCACCGACTTTGGCTAGTTTTTACAGAATGTTTTAACCTTACCGGTGACATATCCAACTTTGCCGTCAAGGTTTCTCCCCACAATACCAGCTTGTTGACCACCCAAGCTGTAACCAGCTACATGGTAGTTCGCCACATCGGCGCCAGTCACGTTGTTAATCCAGGAGATGAAGCGAGCCACACCAGCACCTGAGGAGACATAAAACATCTTATTCTTATATCTTATACTTCTTGTCTCAGGTTTTGCGAAGATCTACGGGTTAAACGCGACGTGTAATTGGCTAGTTTCCTAGGTTTAAAATAAATTGTTTCAACTTATCAATGCAATTAATAATTAAAAAATAATCATACTCTCATCCATTGATTTGACAATTTACCTACTTTTGGATTTTTTCTCGCTAATTTTAAGGAAATAAGTATGCTATTTGACGCAGAAATATGATGACGTCATAGTTTACGATCCAATACAAAATTCATAGAAATGTATCGTTTTTGAAATTCCAATAAAAGTATTGAATTTGACTACCTGTCTACCACTGTATTGAGTAACGTTTGAGTATTTGAACAGCAGTGATTGGTCGTAGTTTTAGGACTTTTTTATACCACGACGGTGGCAGATTGGACCATTTGTACACTGCATGAAATAGTAAACAATTCAATGGTTTTGTTACCTGATAGGACAGTATTTTCGATAGCTCTGCCATAATTGATAGTGCTGGCACCAGCGTTCCAGTCTACCACGATCACGTTCATATCTTCTGCCGCTAAGAAAGCTGGAGAAGAAGACGTTAAATGAGTAAAAAGTATTATAGATTTTTTTAAGGACTAACTGGACTGCACTGAGAAAAAATATCAGAAAGACAGGATTGTCTCTTTACAGATTTCTTGGTTTTTACGACATAAGGTTATGAAACCCTATAAAGTGTAGGGATAATATGGTTTAAACTGTCAAACACCAAGCGGTCACCGGTGACCGCAACCTATTGTTCTATAATTGTGTCTACAAAACCGGTACTCGACGAGTTAAGAAATATGCACCTACTACAAATAATAAAAAGACAAAGTTTAATATGTAAACAGTTTTAAACGAATTAAAATGCGCGTATCTCGTTACGGTATTTAATTTAGATGAGAAAAAAATTAAAAGTATATTACAATGATTGTCTCTAGGCAAAGCAATCGGGAAATGTTAGTTTCACTTCATAAGATACTTAAATTTTTTTATTGCAGTTTAAAGTTTCATTTTTTTTTATCTTTACACACTACGAAATGTCGCTGCCATGCTAATGACGTCATTACGGTAGTAAACAAGTGTCAGCTGTCATTGAACTAAGTGTGTATTAATATCATCTGTTTACCCAATGAATACTGATGACGTCATGACTACAAAACAATCATGGCGTCCGCTGTTTGCCACGTTTTCGCGAAACAAGCGCGAAATTTGAAATTATGATTTAATAATAAATTTATATTCGAACACAACGCGAGAAAATAGATTTTATAATAGATACGTTGCATGAAATAGTCTAATTTGTCGAATTATGTTTGGCAGATGTCACTTTTTATATTTTTTTTTTTACATTTTAAGGTCGATTTCTATTTATGCCACCCACGTGGAAACTGAACTTGAAGTCTTCGTCGATCCACAGCGTTTTGAATCTGGAGTGTGATACAGTGAGCGTTGTATGTAAAATTGAATTTGTGCCGACCCGAGAATCGAATCGTCGCCGGAGTTGGAAAAAACTCGCGCAGATTCCGGCAGAGGGCACGATGGGTGCGAAGCACAAGCACCAGCACCAACGCGGGCATCAACCACAACCAGTATCGCTGCGGCCGCGCATGGTACTCATGAGGGAGAGTCCCTCTATAACTCGAAATTAGTAGAGACTTAATTTTTAATTTTTCTTTAGAATTATATTTTATTTTATTTTTAATTGTTATGTGTGTTCTGCGCAAAAATAAATAGTTTTTATTTCTTTTCTAGAGCTTCTCTCAGTATATTTATATGAGTAAGTCGTAATTTTTAGTTGATTTCTATTTGCCTTTTTTGGATATGGTAAAAATAATAGTTACCAGCTAGCAGAACGGCGTTGAAGTTGCCGGTAGCGCTGTCAAACCAGCCATGGATTAGCACGGCAGTTCTATGTGAAGGATCGAAGTTGGATGCCTTCAGCAGCTGCTCGTTGCCTGGAACTATGGGCTGGCTTACTGATGGGTTGCGTCTGGAGAACAAAACAATTTACTAATTCATTTAACACATTGTGTCGTGGTGGCCCGGAGGTTTAAGACGCCCGCTTCTCATGCATCAGGGTGCGGGTTCGAAACTTACCAACGGCAGGTACCAATGTGACTATTTCCGAGTTATATGTACTTTCTAAGATTATTCAGACACCACTGACAAACGGTGAAGGAAAACATCGTGAGGAAACCTGGGCTTATAATTTCTAATTATAAGTTTGAAATCGCCAACCCGCATTGAGCAAGTGTGGTGATTAAGAGGCATTGCTTTGCTTTGCTTTGCTCAGGCTGTTGATGTGAAATGCCATGGCGGTCATCGGTGACCGACGTTAGGAGAGGATTTGCCTTCAACAGTTTATTGGCAGTCAATGCCTTAAAGGGCTATGTGTCTTGGAGACCATATCGACAACCGCCGGAAAAATTATATAATTTAAAGGGGCTTCCTCACCGGCAGCATTCACGTGTAATGTTACATTATAGATTCGACTTTGAGCATTTCATAGCAAGATGTCAGACATTGGTGTTACAAGTTGTATCAAGATATTACACATTGTATCATTACAAGGTGCGCGTTGTAATGTTCGGTTCTCCTCCTTCACTGATGTAATGCTCAGATCTGTAACGTTACATTCTCTGTCTCTGTTCAATATGTAGTCCCTTGATGGACTCCTCTGACACCCGCAGGAAAAGTAGGAGTTTTTTTGAGGGTGTGAGGCGGGAGGGAGGAGTAGGATGCTGACCTATGCCTCAAGCACCCTGCCTCCTCCTTAGCTAACATGACTGCTTCGCAAATGGAGGAGATGGCACCCTAGTCCCTCTCGCTCCGCATCATGGCTTAGACTAGGGCTGGACGTGAGAAGTCGCCGTCGCCGATCACATCCCTGAGGGCACGGTGGTACTCAGTTCATGCAGGGCATGCCCCACCGTATGTTCCACCGCGTTCTCAGGGCGGTCCTCGCAGTGAGGACACCCGGGCGTTTCCTCCTCACCTGTCAGACACATCTACCTCCCGAAGGTCCCATGTTCGGTAAGCACCTGCATCAGGTGGTAGGTAGGAGGACGGTATAGCGTCTTTCAAGCCACTTCTCAAAGAGAGGACTTACTGCTGCAATGTCAGCGAGCCCAAATGGCGGGGGTGGTGTCAAATGTCTTCTATTCTGTCGTCATCAGCCAAACATAAAAAGAACCACTTACCTAGTAAATAGGTGATATACATTCTGTGTGTCTGGGTTGTATCTGGCGTTGAAGTCAGTAGCTGGCGCCCAGAGGTCCACCAGGTGTAGTCTGCCTAGACCATCTTGTACGTGCTGGTAGCGGGGCCCTGGATCACGGCGGATAAAAATACCGTCGGGCAGAGCTGTGGGCGAAAATTACATTTAACATTTGATCATATTTATGGAATAAAGTGTGGGAGAGCCATGCTTCGGCACAAATGGGCTGGCTTGACCGGAGTGACACCACAGCCTCACAGAAAACCGACGGAAAACAACGCTTGCATTGTGTTTCGTCGTGCGAGTGAGGTTACCGGAGACCCAATTACCCACTATAATCCCACTTAGTTTTTAGTCGAATTTCTGTGGTGCTTCGCGATTGGGCCTCTCTCAGTTGTACAGTCTCTTGTTGTGCCTTTAGGCTTAATTCATTCTGTCTCCTGTAATAATTCATTCTCTTATTATATCTTCTGATTCATTACTTTGCGGGAACCAAGACAGTTATTCATGTCCCTGGAACGCACCGAATTTCAGTGTTCCGGTGTTTTCATCGTTGTACCTACTGTAGGCTCTGGTGCAGAGAAGTTGCAGTGGTTTTGGGAGGTGGTGTCCGGCTTGTCCATTTAAATAAAGCCGATATTGATGCGGTTTATTTAAAGACTGATTCAAGAGGTTAGTTACAAACAATTGTAAATGATCTTACCTGCCACAACACTGAGCGTGAATATAATCAAAAGAGGACCCATTGGTAACACTAAATATAATTACTAACTAACTGAGCGAATATTACACATATTATATACTATAAATTTATCAGAGATTATACATATAACTAGCTACAAATAACAACAATATAATAACACTTAATCTGCTGTAATTTACCAAAAGATAAGTAATAAACCACCAAATCTAGACGTAATCGTAATCGCTTGTTGTATCAATTTGATCTATGCTAATATTAATGATTAATATTGTTTGTTTGTTTCTTTTTTATATTTGATGGGCCGACGTTTGATCTCTATCTCGCCTGACCATCGTAGACCGCATCATCGCTGTGGTAAGCGCACGTCGTCCCATAGGCAACCTATTCACTCGGGCCTTGAAGACGCCCAGGTTGTACTCTTTAGGGAATACAGACTATAGCAAAGAATTCCACTCCTTAGCAGTACATGCAAGAAAGCTTGATGCAAAGCGCTTCGTGCTTGTGGGTGGAACATCTATATTGTTTGCATTAGATAGGTAAGAGACAGTGGCATTAAGTGCCGAAATGTGCACCTCTGCTTACACCTTCGGGGATAAAAAGGTGTGATGTTATGTTATGTAAATAGGTAAGAGGTCCCGTAACAACGAGTTGCGGATAACTTAATGGATTACCGGGGCTCCGGCTCAAATTAGAAGTAAAACAGGGTGGTATTTAGTCAGTTAGGGTATGACACTCTCTCTCTCTCTACTCACACAAGGCGTGAGAAGCCATTGGATAATATTTTTCCCGGTCAAGAAACTACTGGGCTGATTTTTTATGGGATATGTTAGCTTTTTTTAAGGGGTGAAAATCTTCTCCCGCCTGGGTGAGGTGGGAGGGAGTGTCAGACTCTTACTGACTAAAAACCACCCCGTTTCTACTCCTGCACTTCGAGCCGGAGCCCCGGTAACCCGTTCAATCATCAGTTAATCCTTAATCTGTGGTGGTCTGATGACTCTTTGATGTCTGGCTCTAGTCGGGCGGCGAGCTACCCATGCTCACCGTCCATGCTTACGGTGGCCGGAGATCACCCCGCCTGATGGTAAATAATCAGCACCCCCCATAGACACCCACAACACTAGAGGAGGTACCAGTGTGTTACCGACCTTTCATTGCGAGCATTTCTTTCTTTATTGAAACGAAGAATTTCCTTTTTCTTGCATAGAAGCACTATCCTCGTGGGTGCGTTTACAAACATACAATTTGACGCAATGACGCATTACTATTGATTTGATTTGCATCAGACATTGTGAGTATTGAAGAAGGTATTAAACTGTCAAACACCAAGCGGTCACCGGTGACCGCAACCTATTGTTCTATAATTGTGTCTGTAATGACGGTACTCGACGAGTTAAGGATGTCGGAAACTGTCATGAGTACGGACGCTAAGCAGAACTCAAGTGCGCCACCTAGCGGATTTTCGATGCGCTTAGGCGGAGTTGTGGCGTCAGAGTCGGACTCGGTGGAGCTCACTTCAGTTCGAGTCGCCACCAAGTGAAGTCGTTGCCACGGAACTGCCCCTTTTTTATGACGGGGGAAACCTTCAAAAGGCTCCCAGCCTTTTTGGGTATAAAAGACTAGGGAGTGTGGGATTTTTACTTCACTAAAACCACCCCGGTGGCCACCCTCAACACTTGAATGGAGGCACCGGGTCCGCTAAAAGAGACCTGCTCCGGCGCCTCCACGGTGCAACGCCTGTTACGACACATCCCTAGGGAGACAGGTGTCCCCTTTAAGCCTTGCTGTCTACGGCGGCACGTGACCACTGTGCCACCGTCTTCTCTGAGACCACAGGCCACGGAACTGCCCTGCGTTTCGCTTAGTGCACTGTACCTTGTGATTGTAAGAAATTCAGTGATGAATTCTAAACGCTTTTCCTATTTGCACGATACTCATATTCGCCCTCATTATGTCTGAGCAATCGGAACATATTCATGCCTCCTCCGACATCAAAAGAGGGATGAGTGTCGCAGCCTTCGACAAGTATATAACCAAATGAAATAATTAAGAATGAAAAGATAAGTCGTTTTGACGAAATCTCCGCAAAACATGTGAATTTACACGTGAGAAAATGAAGATAAATAGTAAATGAGAAGTTAACTAGTACACAGGGACTTGATTTATCTTAATAACTAAGTACTCGGGTACCTACTGGGTAAGATTAGATTGTATTTTCAGCTAGTCATAGCAGTATTGAGCGAAGTAGTAAAGTTTTTCCTTATTTGACTCATTGGGGTATACAGTTTGTAAGTAAGTGTGAGAGAGCCATGTGTGAACCTGCTGACGAGAAATAACACTGGCTTTGTGTTTTGTCGTGTGAGTGAGGTTACCAGAGGCACAATTACCACCCTCCCCAATCTCCCCAACCCCAGATCCCCAACAATCCTCAATTTCGTAATCTCCAAAAGGCCGGTAACGCATTTGTAACCTTTTTGTGTTTTTGGTGTCCATGGGCGGTTCCGATAAAGCTAAAGATAAATACATTTATTTGCGTAAAATTATGATATACAAAGATGTTATAGTTACAATATAATAGATCATCATGTTTTGCTTAATAAATAAAGCATGCTTATTTTAACTAACTTACACTCCTAGTTATCTTTATATATATAATTCTGCTGTACGTGTGTATGTCATTGAACTCCTCCTAAACGGCTTGACCGATTTAAATGTATTTTTCTGTACGCGTTTGAGTGGCGCCCTGGGTGGTTTAGATTCACAAATCAGCCCGGCAGATGGCGCTGCAGTCGATGTCTAGGTTAGTTATCCTAAACGGCTGAACTAATTTGAATGATATTTTGATTATACATTCAAGTAGATATGCAGGACAACGTCTATCGAATCCGCTAGTGTACTATATAAAAATAAGTAGGGTTTTCCTTCCTGACGCTATAACTCCAGAACGCACGAACCGATTTCTACGGTTTTGCATTCGTTGGAAAGGTCTCGGGCTCCGTGAGGTTTATAGCAAAGAATGTTACATAAAACGAAGCCATCTGGTGGTGAAACGGAGTTCGCCGGCAGATGGCAGATTGCTTACAATTGCATACAATCAGGTGATCCGAATGCTCGTTTACCGGCTTATGCCATAAAAAAATCAAATCTGAGTAATCGTGTTCGACTTGCGTCAAGAGATCAGTGGTATTTCCTGTTGGATAGTATTGTTTAAATGATGTATAATAGTTTAGTATTGTTTTACAAGAATGGGGGACTTTGCACAGTTATCGCCTCACAAAATATGAAAGAAGAGAAAGCTTCCTCCTTTATAATTTGACAGACGACAATTCATTCCACACTTCATTTAACATAACATAACACCACGCTTTTTATCCCCGAAGGGATAGGCAGAGGTGCACACAGAAGTAACACCCACTTTTCACTATTTATGTTATGAGTCCCATGTAATAGGGGGTGAGCCTATTGCCATATACCGGGCACTATTTCAGACTCCGAGATACTACTGAGAATTTTTTTTAAACTCAGTAATACTAAAATAAAAAAGTGGGTGTTACTTCTGCATACCCCTTCGGGGATAAAAGGCGTCTCCATTTAAACCGAAACGAAAAACTGTCGAGTGGACGCAAACGCGACTACCAAGTAAAGGCCTTGGATTCGATTTTTGGTTGAAGTGTTTTCGTTTTCAGTTAATAGCGCAGTCTGGAACAGCAACGACTACAGTGGCCGCTGTGCGTATTCTCATCGAGGGTAAAAACCATAAAAATCTAAATATTTTCATTGTATGTCAGGTTTTTACCCCAAAAAAAAAAGTCTAGAAAATCACAAAATGACTAACTAACAACAACATAACATGAATCACAGACTCGTATGAGTCAAAATTAATGATTTACAATTTTAATCAGTGGACACAAGATTATCTATTATAACATAATAATAATTACAGATAATCACTGTCATATATTTTTAGTGCAAATTCTATGATAAAGATTAAAAACAATCGTATGACTAATACAAATTGTACAGATAAATAAAGATTGCCTCGTTGGCCGAGTGGTCGCAAGTGAGACTGCTGGGAAAGAGGTCACGGGTTCGATGCTAGGGACGGGCAAAGTATTACTGGGTTTTTAATAAATTCTCAGTAGTAGCACGGAGTCTGGAATTGTGTCCGGTATGTATTGGTAGGTTTCGAAGAGCACCCTCATGCATCAGAAGCGGGCGCAGAAGGTGAAGCCATCCTTAGGAATGACAAATATTATAGCTTTCTTTATCATACCATCACGCCTTTTTATCCTCGAAGTGGTAGGCAGAGGTGCACATTACGGCACTTGATGCCACTGTACAATATAACACTCACTTTTCACTATTTGTGTTATGAGTCCCATGTAATAGGGGTGAGCCTATTGCTATACCGCGCACAATTCCAGACCCTGTGCTACTACTGATATATTTTTTTAACCCGAGTCCCCTTGTCTGGCAGTCGCACTTGCGACCACTCGGCCAACGAGGCATCTGCACACAATATCAACATATTTTTTTATTTTTTTTTTATATAAATTTTGCCCCACACACTTAACTCTCAACAGCATACGACAGTATACTGTTAAACAATGATCTTCTTTTACGCAGTACTGTCATTACCATAAGGGAACTAGGGGCCAATGTCCAGGGCCCCTAGCCTCAGGGGCCCCGAATGACCGACAATTTCTACGACGGATACAAACCCGCTACACATAGCGCGGCATCCGGCTGCCCCGCAACGCGTTGCAGGCTCAATTGCCCACACCGAGCAAATCTTTGTGAGATCTACGAATTGTTGTTTTAAGTCTGGGTGTAAAGTGTATTTGAACTTGTATATTTGTAAACGCACTTACGATACAGGAGAAAATTCTAGTGTAGTGCAACGAGGGCATAGTCATAGTCTAAGTCGGCCCTACCTCTACTTAAGAGGGTTTGCCATAATCTCCGCAGGCAGGCGGGTTGGAGATCGCAGTATACAAGGTTCAGGTTTATCAGAGAGCGCTGCTGCACGGTCTCTGTCCTTATAGTCCCTCAGTCGGGTATATGACACCCGCGGGAAGAGTAGCGGTGGTTGACAATCTACTGTTGCACTATGAGCCTCCTCTACTTAAGAGGGTTTGTCATAATCTCCGCAGCCAGGCGGGTTGGAGATCGCAGTATACAAGGTTCAGGTTTATCAGAGAGCGCTGCTGCACGGTCTCTGTCCTTATAGTCCCTTAGTCGGGTATATGACACCCGCGGGAAGAGCAGCGGTGGTTGACAATCTACTGCTGCACTATGAGTCTCCTCTACATAAGAGGGTTTGTCATAATCTCCGCAGGCAGGCGGGTTGGAGATTTTTTTTTTAAGGGGGGAAAATCATCGAATGTCTGCTCCCGCCTGGGTGAGGCGGGAGGGAGTGTCAGACTCTTACTGACTAAAAACCACCCCGTTCCTTCTCCTGCACGTCGAGTCGGAGCCCCGGTTACCCGTTAGGTTCTCCGCGACAGGCGGGTTGGAGATAGCAGTATATAAGGTTCAGGTTTATCAAGGAGCGCTGCTGTGTAGTTCCATAGTTGATTCATGGGTTGTAAACTCTTTGTTTCTATAAAGAAATGCTCGATGCCATAAGGAAACTAGATTGTCTACATTAGAATTAAAGTGTACACGCTTGACGAATTCGAGTTCAAACCTCGAACCGAAGGTTTCTTTTATTTTTGCTCTATTATTTAATTTAATTTTTTTCTAAAGAAATGACGTAGGTACTAATAGAAACACCGAACAAAGCTCACACCTATACTCGGAATTTTAATTCGATTCCAGATTTGACAATTTCAGTGTTGCAACGTTATGACAAGTACTAAATAGTGACGTTGCGAAATTATTCGATATGGAAATGGAATATTTCTGGATCGATTCTTCTCGTTTATAATTTTACTCTCGTAAACTAAGTTTATTAGGAAATTAAATATTTCTGAACGATAATTTAATATTGACGATTTATTAACGATCTGAGACTTTTCTTTTATAATTGTATGTGAAATAAATTAAAGAATGTAACCATAAAGGAACATAACAAATAAAACAGATAGATGTATTATGGTAATAAGTTATTTTATAAATTGTCGCCGTCATCGCTATCGCTATCGCTGTCACTTTCTGTAACATTTATTATAAAACACACACACTGATTGTTTATCGATTTTTGTTCACTACACTATTATATGTGGTATCATTATTTCACAAAATGACAGTAGCCAATGTCAAATCTGGAATCGAATTAAAATTCTGACTATAGACATTAACAATTTATTTGTTTTTGCACATGCTTAGATCCACGTAGATATAATTTTTCTACGTTGGCATTGTTATCACTAAACAATAGTTATCTACTATCTAATAAGCAACCTTTGGATGGACATATTATATTATTAATTGTTGATAAACAGACTAGATAAATATGTCTTTGGAAGCACGTTTTTTTTTAAATTACACGTGTGTGTGACTAACTTGTGGACGCTCGGCTTCAAAGCCTCGAATACAGGCGTAAAGTCTGTGTGCATGGGAAATGCACAACTTTATTCCTCCTAGTCCGTTTTACCATCGTACTACCAGACGAAATACGCCCTTATTTATGGTGGACACTCCACCCATTTGCACGAAGCGTTTCGCGTCAAGCTTCCTCATGCGAACAGCTAAGGAATGGAACTCCTTGCCGGAGTCTGTGTTTCCTGAAAATATAACTTGGGTATCTTCAAGTCCCGAGTGAACAGGTTGCTCATAGGTAGGCGTGCTCCATCGTCGGCCGCATCGCTTACCATCAGGCGAGACGGTAGCCAAACGAGACGGTAGGCAGAGCGCAAACAATGCAACACCCCCTTATCACCAGTCATGTAATGAGTTTCTTGTAATAGGTGAGTATTCTATACATGCCCGCCTCGTTAGCCGAGTGGTCGCAAGTGCCGGGCAAGGGGTCTCGGGTTCGATACCGGAGTCGAGCAAAAGAGTACTGGGTTTTTCAAAAAAATCTCAGTAGTAGCACGGAGTGTGTAGTTGTGTTACATGGCAATAAGCTCACCCCCTATTGCATGGGACTCATAACATAAATAGTGAAAAGTGGGTGTTACACTGTACAGTGGCATAATGTGCACCTCTGCCTACCCCTTTGGGGATAAAAGGCGTGATGTTATGTTATGTTGTGTTCTAAACATCTGGCTGTGTCAACATGGCCAAAATCTATGTTTTACGTAGAAGAACGACGGCGACTGTGACAATCTATGGTACAGTATGGACCTACTCTACTTATAAGGCAGTGGCCTAGCGTGCCGTGGCGGGGTCCTGTACAAAAATTGGTTTCGGGGCCTTCATCAGTATATTTCGGGGCCTTTATTGTTTGTTTGTTTGATTGTTTGTTTGTTAGTTTGAAAGCGCTAATCTCAGGGACTACTGGACCGATTTGAATAATTCTTTTTGTTTTGGATAGGCCATTTATCGAGGAAGGCTATAGGCTATAGAACATCACGCTACGATCAATGGGCGCCGAGCAGAGCGAGTAATACCGCGTGGAGGTAGCTAGCGAAATATGAAGTTCATATTTAACTGACAAGTTAATAGGCATGGCGACTATTTTTTAATTTTTTGTCCGTCTTTTAGATATTTTAAAAATCTTCGATACGTATTTTTTCTTTTTTCTCGTATCCAAAAAAACATGTAGATATTTTGAGTTAAAATGACGCGTGACGTCACAATTAGGTACGATTTCTCCGTAAGTGTGACGTCAACACCCCCCACTCCCTAACTTTAATGCGGAATAACTACGTATTCTTCTGTTAATTTGATAAAACAAAAAATACGTGTCTGATATTTTCGTGCGATCTTAATGACGGACTAATTACTTTTTTGATTTTATTACCCTGTCGACACGCCTATTGCTGGGTTGGAGCCATGCTGGAGTCGTGTACGTTACGTATGTGATGAATTTATTTCTTTCATTGATATTGAATGAAG